TACCCAGCAGTTCCCAGGATCCGGCCTCGACTGTTCACTATCTGTGGGGCCTCAGAGGCAAGCATCTTAATAACGACCGCCAGTAATTGAGGGCTTAGTATGTCAGGGCCTAATGCACGCAGCCCCTCCCTTATTGCTTACAGTAACCTTCCAAGGAGTCATTCTCCCCACTGGGAAACAGGATCCGAGAGGTGAAGTAATGACAGAAGTGACCCAGTCATACCTCCATAAAGAGTGTAATCCCTGCCTGTTAGGTTTAATGAATGTGAGGGTTAACTGATCTACAAATTGCAGTGGCTGGCGCACAGTGGGAGCCCAATAAACGTTAGTTTTCTTCCCAAAACCCTGGTTTAACCTGAACTGTGTGTATGTGTGGGGTGCACACCTTCCTTCAGCGCCTAAGCTATGGGGGGTGTGACGACCTGACCCACAATTCTCATCCCAGTAGCTGCTGCACAGATCACAGTGAATTTCTCTACCCATTTTTGACCTCTTTCTAGTCCCAATATTTCCCCCATGCCTTTCTTAGTATTTACATTCTCGTTCTGTTTCTGTCTCTTCACCTGCTTTTCCCTTTCCAGTCTCATCTATTTCTACACTTTACATTTATTTCATTTTCCATGAACGTTTTACCACTTTTGTTTTCCCCCCATTCCTTTCTTTCCCCTTTACATTTTCTGAATTTTCAAGTCTTTTTCACTAATATTCACGTTTTCCCCTCTGCCTCTGTATTTCTTAAACTTAACAGTTTGTTTGATAAACATGGGATTGAATACTCAATTTCTCTCATCCCAAACATTCACACACTTTCCTGTCCTCCCACCCCAACTTCTGCTGGTCCTTCCTGGATTGGTCTTTCCCCAGCCTTGCATGTCAAGGTCCCATCCATCCTACAAGGTCCAGACTCAAGAACAGTGTGTTGGCAAACTTTTTCTGTAAGGGACCAGGGAGGAAATATCTTAGACTTTGCAGGCCACATGGTCTCAGTCCCAACCCGGGCCTTGGCCACGGACAGTATGTACGTGAATGTATGTGGCAGTGTTCTAAAAGAATTTCACTATGAACACTGAAATGTGTGTCTCAGTGTTCTGAGAGTCTCCTATGAAATAGTATTCTTTTGATTGTTAAAATTATTAGCTTTAAGGCTCTACAAACAATGGCAATATGATGGATGTGGACCTGGGGCTACAGTTTGTCAACCCTGCTATACAGCAATGCCAAGTCCTCCCTGAGGTCTACACTGATAATCTCTGCTTGGCAGTAAAATTTCCCTCTTTGTAACTTGTAAATCACTTCCCTAAAATCCTTCTGAGGCATTTATCACATTTTAGCTTTCATTTTCATTTTCTTCCTGTGTAATTTCCCAGCAGACCTTAAGCTCTTTGAAGGTGTGTACAGACCTTATTTCTCTGTGTATTGCCTCCTGTCCTACAGATGTCCAAAACAGAAGAGGCATTCAAACATACACAGAATGTATGCATATTTAAGTTGTGGGTATTTGGCCACTGTTTCCAGTGTGCAAGGCTTACTTCTCTCACAAGATAGATAGGACCTCAAGAGCAGGATGCTTGTTATGCGTTGACCACCTTGATTACATTTCAAAAAAGGTTTTTGGAGAGCATATGAACAAGATGGGAAAAGGTAGGTAAATGTCACTTCATTTAGGGGTTGTTAGATAATAAATACTTGAGCAAAGAATGTTATCTCCAGCAGCCTGGAGACAAGGCATGTGTCCTCAATCAGATCCTGTACAACCTTTCTATAAGCAAATTGGTAAAGACAAAGAAAACATACTGTGCAGTTTATGGGTGGCAACATTAAGCAGATGAGTTAGTAAAATGAATAACAGAATTCAGATATAAAAGATTCTTGCCCCACCACTTATTCTCTCTGTGCCTCAGTTTTTGCATCTTTAAAACTGGGATAAGAAAATTTCCTACCTCAGAGGCTACTCTCAGGATTAAATGAAGAAATCTATGGGGAGCCTGTCAGAGAGAATTCAGTAACGTTAGCTGTTAACTATTACTTATCACTAGTTAGGCTGGAACTTTGGAGTAAGTTCACAAGATAATATTTAGCAGATATAATTGTATTTTGATTCAAAATATAAATCATACAAAGTGAGAGACTGAAGAGACTTGGAAGATAAAGCAGTTCAAATAAAAAGCAACCTCAAAAACAAAACTAAACCTCTGGCATTCAGTCAATATTGTCCTCTGAACCAACAACGTTATTTGTGTGGTCAGAAGAATTAACGTGGGGCCCTGTGTAAGCGGCCTGATGAAGGACAGTGAGGAACCAGAGCCAGGGTATGTAACCTGGAACTCCTTCAAATTTCTGTTTTCTCTTCTGAATAATGGGGATAAAAATACAACTGTTACCTAGTACACAGTAGGTGTTTGAAAAATTTTAGTGCCTTCCTATGATTCCATATGGATCTAGAAAATAGTTCAACTCTTAACAGGCTTATGAAGATTAGTGGCCTTTTATTCTCAGCATTAATGTGATTTGGGGGGGTTATTGAACTTTCAGAGAATAATGGAAGGTAGAAGGTGGACAGACAAGCATGACCAGAATGATGGGAATGGAAGTCCTAATGTGCCATAAAGAAAAAATGAAAAGTCTCAGGCCTTTAGCCTGGAGATTCTCTCTTTTTAATGGGAAGGAGATGCCAGAGACATGACAAGTGTCTGCACTATATGTATGTATGTATGTATGTATGTATTACAGTGTATGTAATTCACAAGATGGAATCATGACCATTGAGGCCAAGATCCAGAGAAACAGTTATTGGCTTAATTTGAAGAGCAAATTTCTGATAAAGCAATTCCACAATGGAAGGAGCTGCTTGCTTGTCTTCCAGCCTTCCTTCCTTCCTTTTTCAGTGCCAGAGATTGAACCCAGGGTCTTATACATGCCAGGGTAGCTCACCTCCCAACCTCTGGGCTGCTTTTCAAAATGAGTCTCTTGTCATTGATGGTGTGCAAAGAGAGAATGGATGACCTCCTTCCCATTTTTAAATTTTTCTAGTGTCTTTCTCTACATTCTTTTCCTTTCTTTTTACTTCACTCCCTCCCCTATTCCTTATTGGACTTTATAAACTTTTTATCCCTCTTGTCCCAAAATATTTTTCTTCTCATTTCCAAACAAAACTCTTTTTCTCTTGCATCTCCTACTCCCCTCCCAGAACACACTTAGCATCATTACTGGAACTGCCTCCCTGAGTTGGCTGTAGCACAGAATGTCACTGAGAACTGGGCCAAGATTGCTACGCAAACTGGCAGTGAGGGAAGAAAGCAAATGGACTGCTGCAGAGGCCAGAAATACTGCAGTGTCTCTCTCATCAGGGTAGAGTGACCCAGCAGAGGCTCCTTAAACCCAGGCCATGGAGAAGAACCCTTGTAAATCACAGACAGACATATGAGGACCCGGGGCTGAGCAACTTCCCTCAAAGATGCTTTCTGCAAACTGAACTCACTTTAAATCCCCTTCTAACTCCCCCTAGGTATTCCCATTACATTTTATATATTGTAGCGCCTTGATTCCAATTTCAAGAATTCTCTCTTATACTAAATAAAGGCAAGATCTGTAACCACTGGGCCTCTCTGCTTCAACTCTCTACCTGGTACCTGTACATGCATATACATCTGGCATCAATGACATGTGGTATTCAGGATCTGGATCTAGAACTTTCAGCTCTCTTTTTTTTTCTACGCATTCACCCTTGTATCTTCTAGGTTCCTTGTCTTTCTCCCTGATTCATCTTCTTATTTCCCTTCCATTTCCAAATGCCCAGTATCCTTGTTGCCTCACTGGGCTTGCAATAGTTTACCCCCCCGCACACTTTTTTTTGGTACCAGGGATCAAACTCAGGACCATGCACTTGCAAAGCAGGCAGCAGAACCACTGAGCTAAATCCCGGTCCTGCCCTCCCATTCTTGACACCCAAGTACAAGGTGCTAGGGGATGGCAGGAAGGCTGACTTCCTCCCCTCCCCCAGGGCCCCAGCTATGCTTCATACCGTGAGCTGGGGACTGCTGGATGTTAGGGCTCTTGGGTACAGGCAGGCTACCAGGCATGGCAGTGACAATGGCTTGCTGGTGTGGTGATGGACAGGATCGAGTCTCAGGCACACTCTTCTCCCCAGGTACCACTTCTTTCCAGTCATCAGGGGCACAATGCTGAGGCTGTAGAGTGGGGCAGGACAGAGAGATCAGTCTGCTCTTACAATGACTGTATTCTTAGACCTATCTGTTTCCATGGAGCTTTTAGTAGCAGGCAAGGACCTTAAACTCAGTCATCCCCAAGTTAGGGACAGCCCTGTCTTCTTTGTTGGACTATCCAGACATGACTTCAACATTTAGCCTACCCAGAAAAACATTTGAATGGAGACTGAATCGTAGCTTCCTTGTGTGTTCTCTGCACCTTGGGGTCAGCTTACTCACCAATGGCGAAGCAGGCTGTAGTTGTAAGATGACAGCTGAGGTGTGCTGGAATCTGCGCTGAGGGGTGTGGGACATGTCCTCGGGATGTGCATTCTGAGGCCCAGGGTCAGGCGTGGAAGGGTGACACTGCTGACTGCTTATGGGCTTGTGTAGATGGGCAGCGGGACACTGGAGTGGCAGGGTGGGTGTAGCTGGGCCTAGTGGCATGGTGTGGGCTTCTGGGCTGGGCTGCAGGGCCACACTTGGGGGGACTGAGGCGAGCTGGGGTTGGGCCTGGGCTTGGGGTACAGGCCGTGGTGGTTGGGGCTGCTGCTGTAACTGCGGCTGCTGCTGGATCACAAAGTGGGGCTGCAGGTGCTTTGATGATGGCTGTGGGAGAAGCTGATGTGGCTGCAGCTGAGCATAAGCTGAAGGGGAAAGACCACGTTAGACAACACGGCTGGACTCATCTCCATGTCCACTGGCTGTGTACTTCCCTCCCACAGCCACACAAATGGCTTCCCAAACCCAAGCTCTCTTGCTTTCATTCCTTTCTTCTTCTTTTTTGGTACTGGGGATCGAACTCAGGACCTTGGGCTTGTGAGGCAGGTGTGATAGCACTGAGCTAAATTCCTGGCCCTCTGTCATCCCTTTCACTTTTCTCTGGGAACATGGCTTGGTCATGACGTGTCAGGCCCAAAACCCTCTCTCTTCTGGATCTCCTCCCACAGAAATAGTTGTGCCCAACACTGGGCTCTTTGGGCTGTCCCTCAAAGCTCAGCTCAGCACTCATCTCCTCTGGGAAGGCTTCTTCAACCTTTCCAGCTGTCCAGAGAAACGCTGGATTCCAAGGGAGCCAAGTTCTCTTTCTCTTTCACGTCCTTCTCTGTGCCTGTGGTACCTACCACCTCTCCTGTGTCCCTGCCTCCCCCACCAGCGGACACAGGAGGACCACTGCTTCCTTTTTAAATTTTCTTTTAAAATTTTACAAACTGTGGGATCTGGGACCAGCCATTTAACCTTTCTGGGCCTCAGTTTCCTAATCTGAAAGTTGGAAATACAGTTTCTGTTCAGAAAGTTGTTGCAAGATGAAATGAAGGGGGGAACCCTATGCAAATAAAATGAGAAAAATGACATAATGTGCATAGAACAATGCTTGGTATCTGTCATGCACATACATTTCTAACTATAATTATAGATACTATTTCAGTCTTAGTTTAGGCTCTCAAAGTATCTTGGGATTACCTCTGTCATGATGATGTTTATGGTAGTAGGCTATACTAGATCATGAATCCCTGTAATTGGAAGCTCCAGTGTATGTTTTCACCCAGAATCTAGCATCGTGCCTGACAGTAGATTGTTTTATTTACAAGACAGACTTATTATCTTGATGTGGAATTTTTTTTGTTCTCATGTGTTCTTGCTGTGTTGCTAATTTTTCTTTCCTCCATTTTAATCTGGCTGACTCTCTGAAGTAGGACAATTTTTTTTAGAGCAATCCCTCTGCATCTAGTTCCTGCTTTAGGCATAGTATGGTTTGAGGAAGTTCATCCCAGGCATTGCTTTTCCTCATGCAAATCCCTGCCTGAAGTCATGCAGGCCAGCTCAGGATAAGGGGCAGCTCTACTGAATCTGTCCTGTCTAAAGCTGCCCCCAGAGATTCTCACAGCTAGAGAGCCATAGAAGGAGACCATGCCCTGCAGATGCACAGAGGGCCACAGCTGGAAACTCCCAGATGGATTTGTACAACTCCTCTCACAGGAAGGATAAAGGCCAATTCTGGGTTTCAAACTAACATTAAAAAAAAATCTTGTGATGTTACAAGTACTTAGATCTCAAACTGAGTTAGAAGAGGTAGCTTCTTTCTTAAATTTTAGGGCTGGGGATTTAGCTCAGTGGTTCTGCTGCCTGCCTTGCAAGAGCAAAGACCAAAAAAAAAAAAAACTTTCTTAAATTTTATTATTCCATGTAAGTTATAACATGGAAATCCAAGTAGGATGACAGCAGGAATGGAAAGGAAAGAAAAGAAACAAGAATCATTACAAAGGAAAAGCACAATGGTTCTTGGTGGATGGCTGCTGGAGTCAGACACAGAGGGAACCTGGGAGGCCCACAGAATTTTAGTCTAGATGGCACTCAAAATGGAATTGAAAAACCTGAATAATCAATATGGTTTTGGAGAAGATGTGTTTGGTCTCAAGTGTTTATAAAACCTCAGTAGAAACTGCCATCAGGGAATTATAAATTTTCCCTGATCCCAGTCTAAGCCCTGTCTCCTGGGAGAGCTGGGAGAGTCACAAGCTGTAAAGACTGTTCATCAGTCAAACTTGCTGAGTATGATGGCCCATGCCTATAATCCCAGCACTCTGGAAGGCTAAGGCAGGAGGATCATAAGTTCAAACCCAGCCTGGACAATTTAGTGATTTATCGAGACCCTGTCTCAAAATAAAACATTAAAGGGGTGGGGCTGGGGATATAGCTCAGTACAAAGGCCTTGGGTTCAATCCCCAGTACTGTAAAAAATCAAAACAAATTAGGCAAATTTAACAATCAGGAGGCTCCTCTTCCATCTCCTCTTCCTCATCCTGGTCTTCCTCCTTGTCCATTTTCTTTTAATGATACAGGAGATTGAACTCAGGGATCAGTGAGTTATATTTTCATCCTTTTTTATTTTTTATTTTGGAGACATGTTCTTGCTAAATTGCCCAGGTTGGCCTTCAACTTGTGATCCTCCTGCTTCAGCCTACCAAACAGCTGTGATTATACGTGTGCCTCACCATGCCCAGCAATAATCAGGAATTTTTAAGACAACTCTTGATATGGCACCTAAGAGATGCTCCAGATGCCGTCCATCACTCTGCTAGGCTCTAGCAGCCCCAGTGATTTGTGAGTGATGGACCTATCACTGGAAATGCAGCTCTGGACACAATCCTGCCCGGGGCAGTCCATCTGAGGTGAGAGCTGGAGGTGTTCCAGGCAAGGAAGCTGGGAGAATCAAAGGCATGTTCCACTGCCTGCTGACTGTGTGGCCTGAGACAAGGGTTCTTTCCTTTCCTTTTCCTCTTTCCTTCCTTACTTCCTTCCTCTCTCCCTCTCTTTCTTTTCTTCCTTCTTTTGTCCTGGGGATCGAACTCTGGTCCTTGAGATTGTAAGGCAGGCAGTGGCACCACTGAGCTAAATCCTCGGCCCGAGGGCATCTTTCTTATCAGAGCTAAAGATTTTTTTCAGTGAAAGAAGAGATCTGGGTTAGGGGATTACACATTACAACTTGAAGGGTTGCCTATACTACGAAAATAGTTTTAAAATTGGGCTTTATAAGGTGGTTCTACATTTACAGAGCATAAAGAGTGCAGTTAGGGGATAATACACATTTGTTTTACCAACTGCTATAGTTTGAATCTCTAGCTAGTGTGTTAAAGGGTTGGTCCACAGGATGGTGCTACAGGGAGGTGGTGGAACATCTGAGCCTCATGAGCAGTCTTTAGATCACTAGAGGCATGCCCTTGAAGGGTACTGTATAACCTTTACCCACCCCTCACTCTCTTTTGTTTTCTAGCCATGAGGTGAATGATGTTGCTATATCATACGCTTCTGCCATGATATGGATCCCAAAAGGACAATCAATCATGACCTGGAACCTCCAAAACTATGAGCCAACATAAATCTTTTCTACATTGATTATCTCAGGTATTTGCTATAGCTGTGGAAAGCTGACAAACACACCAAAAGACTGAGAAGAGAGCTGCTGGTCTCCTAGCTGCCTATTCCTGCTTTCTCTCCTATCTGTTGCTTTTCCCCACTTGTGCTGCTCATGGAAAATGGGAGGCAATTATTTTAGGCCAAATGATGCCACTAAATATCCAACCTGGAAATAAAGCTCATAAGGCTTAAGTAAGTTCATAGATCAACCACTCAAAGGTTTTTCGGGAGTGCACATCATTAACCTTTTGAGGTTAATGAAAAACAAAGACCAGGATTTAACCTCAGTATTATCCTAGGTCAAAAAATCCTTTTGTTTAGAGTAGCAATGATTTTCTAAGTGATTTTCCTGATTTTAGTTTCTTCCTGCTGTAATCCATCTTATAGAGTGCAAATTAATCTTCCCAGTGCACAAATCTGACCTCTGATAGAAAGCCATCAGGGTTTATTCTCCTTCAACTACAGTTTTCCAAAGCCACTGGCACTTGAGATCTCTGTAGAATGGAAACTAACATTTTAATATTTATTTCTTTGACCCAAGTAATTTTTAGCATGCCCTGTCCAGAACTTATGCCCTTTTCATATTGGCTAGAGGGCCACAAATCAAATTCTAGGTATCCTTCCTTGACCATACAGCCGACAGGACTCTTCCTTTCTCTGAACTGCCTGTGAGTTTTCTCTGCTTTGCACTGCCTTCAGAGATGCAGTGTGCTGGGCAGTAGGTGTGAACTCTAGAGTCAAAGTGCTTGGATGTAACTATTAGCTCTGCTGCTTACCAGCTGTGGGACCTGGGTAGGTTACCTGACCTTAGTGTCATCTTTTAAATGGGGATAAGGATATCTGTCTTATAGTTATTTCAGTAGATGAATAATCTCCTTTTATAGGCTGAATTATGTAATTCATTTGTTTTCCTCCAAGATACCTTGAACTTAGTAGATAGATGCTTAATCAGTCCTGCTGAATAAATGAATGACAACACTTGATTTGTGGGACATGTGTGTTCTGCAAAACTGGTTCTCTTCAGGGTCAAAACTTAGGTAAAATAGGTATAATCCCATAGACCACTTGGGTCTTGCCACCAGTCTGTCTTACTGCCATTCCAATCTTTGTATACAGTCTTCTTGTAACTGATCTACTTACTGTACCATAGTGCTTCCTGTCCTCCTGCCCTTTAGGTCTGTTCAGTGCTTCAGCTTTCTGGAATCCTTCCTTCTGCTTTAGCAATCTAAGTTTAAGGATCATTGGCCCAGGCTCAATTTCTGTGGTCTCCCAGTTAGCCTTAACTCACAATTGTGGGTTTTTCCTTGGAGTTCCTGCATGCTTTGTGGGCTTGATTCATTTGTCACTTAACACACCCTCTATTACACATGTATTTCATTGATTCTTAAAAATTATTCCTCCCATTTTAGCATCTTTGGAATTGGGATGCATATTACAGTTATGTCAGATTAATTGGAAGGGTTTATTTTTCTTAGAGTTAAACTAATGGTACATTTTATAATCAAAGATGTCTTAGGTTAAAATAAATGGTAATATTTATTTTTATGTACATGCCATCTTTTCAGGAAGACTATATGCTTTTTGAGTCAAAGACATGTCTTATTATTTTTTTTAAATTGATGTAAGTATTCTTTTTTTTTTTTTTTTTTGGTTAAAAAAAAGGGGATTGAACTTGGGACCTTGCACTTTCAAAGAAGGCGGTGGTAACATTGAACTAAATCCCCAGCCC